AAAAGCAACAAAAAATTTTTTAAACTACGTCCAAAACAAGATGAACAAGGTGAGGACAGACCCATTGCTTAATAAAGATGGAATACTGTTAATAGGCACACAATTCATCAAATGACAAAGAGATGTGTGCCTCCAAATGCCCTATTTTATTTCTATCTTCAAGAAGCATACTAATTCTTAAGAGTATAAAAGGAGGAAACAAACCTAATATAAACAGATTTTAAGTCTGCTTGTTCTTGCAAATCTGGGGAAGAAAGTATAATGCAAAGACCTTTGGAGTCACACAGATGATGATTCAAACCATTCCAGTTGTCAGATGTATGATTCTGGGCAAGCAGGCAAGAGCCTCAGTTTCTCGGTCAATAAAATGAGGATTACCAAACTTCTAGGGCTACTGAGCAGAATAAACAGCATGTATATTGTTGAACAGTGTCTGGTACACACTAGGTATTCACATGTAGGTATTATTCATCATTATATGATCTCAACTCTATCACTGGCAATCTTTTAAAATACACAGGGAAATAAAGAAGAAGTGACAGAAGCTCTAACATCAATTTGAAAAAATAGCAATCTGAACGTATGGGAGGAAAGGGTGATTTCAGACACTGTAGACTGGTAAACTCCATGTTGACACCAGGAAATTTCCATCGCTGATTACAAAAAATATTGCTTGAAAAACAATATAAATATACCAGACTAATCCTCCCTATCTCCTTTCGTTTGTATAGAATTACTGAACTGGTAGATTATTAGAGTAATTAGAACAGAGTTATGTACCTGCTTTGAGTAAAGCATCTAAAATATTGCTATTATGGAAAAAATGGTGTCATGGACTAGGATCAGTGGCCCCCAATTCCTCGGTCTAGGAATTTCAATTTTTAAAGTGATTCTGATGTTCAAATAGTCACAAATACTGAACTAGATCATGATCCAATCAGAATGATAACCACCTGATTGATAACTATACCAACAATGCATAATGACTGACTGTTGTCAACCCGAGAAGATGTCTCTAGGGATGTGGATCTTCCTCTGTCCTACCCTACATAGTATCAAAATGTGAATAAATACATAAAAGCAAAAAATGGATAGGGGGAATAGAGGCAAGAATTTTCTCATATAGATTTTCAATAATTTCTAAGTCCCAGCAATAGTGTCCATCTTTGCCTGCGTATCTATTTACTCTGAATTGGCAATCCCTTCTATAGTTCGAATTTTAAATTGTGTTTTTTCCCTTTCTGGCACATTACAGAATGGCATGAAGCTACAAATCCCTCAATCTTCCCTGCTGCTATCTCTATTCTCCTGTTCTAAAGAAAGCACCAAACTGAATTCTAAGTGTTTTTGGCTACTACCAACTCTAAGAAAAGCAATAATAAAACAATAAAAACCAGGGAAGTTATAAAATCATAAATAATCCCCAAAGCTAATTTTTGTCACCACAAAAATACAGATAGGCCCAATTTTTCCTGGGTATCTCCTCTTAGTTCTTCTGGGAATTGGCTCTACCCGATTTTATCTTTTGAATTCTAAAGTTGTTTCCATCTTATATATGGAAGTCTCCACAGATTCCCTTGGGACTTGGAGGGTTATAAGCAATAATAAAAAATTAGGGCCCTAAAAGCAAGTGAGACTTGTTTATATCTGGGAAGAAACTTCTGACTGGTCAGATACAGCTAACATTTTGCTTTATCCATTAAAGTTATCTTAGGTCATCCCAAAATTATGATTATCAAAATATGTGTAGCTGACTCTAAAGACATGCTGGTTTATTAATTTCAATTATTTGCAAAATCATCTGGTAACAATTTCAAACTAATAGATGACAATACGAGCAAATGTAATTTCCTGAAGTTGTAAGATCATATTGAAATCAAGAGTTTCTTGACAATAATTCTATCTTCCCCCAAAATAGTTAATCAGTATGTTTTAGCTTTGTTTCTACTTACCTATGCAGTTCTTTAATAGTGGATCAATAGGTTGTGGATGGTCAGAAATAGTAAACTTCACAGCTGTAACCACTGAACTTCGGGCATATGATGAGCCTAATTAAAAATAAATTCCAAGTCTATTGGTACGTAGTCCACTAAAATCCGTGGACATCATTTTCAAACCACTTCAAATAATACCACTGTCTTCAATTCCTTAAAATTCTCTTTGGCCAAAAAGGGTAGTTCTTACTGCACTCATGATTCTAAAGGAGCAAAGTTTACTCACCTTATGAAATATAATCCCATTAGATTTCAAAAGATAATAGCTTCTTCTGAGAAGGAGAGGACCTGAAGCAGCAGTGAAGGATCTAGCCCTCACAAGAGGGAACTGGTTAAATCCATAAATAGCTTATAAAATCTTCAAAACTTTTTTTTATTAAAAAAGCAATTTCTAAGAATGAATGGCTATTACTACCTTCTACTTGTTCTAATGTGGCTGACATGCTAAATCTGAAAACTATTCTAGGAGCTTTCATTTGAACTAAGTACTTTCACCAATTTTAGTATTATTATTAGTACTAGCAAGCTCTTCAGGTTATATTAACTCAAGACATATGTCTTTTCTTTTAAGACATTTTAAGACACAGTAACATTAAAATGTAACCATCACAAGGAACTAGAATAGATTTATTTAACCATTATCTAATTATGCTCCATCCTTCTAAACAACAACTTGTCATTTGAATACAGTTCCATATTATAACAAAAGACAGTACTTTTTCATAATATACTTAAGCTTTTACATGGAAGAAAATATAGACATGGTTTAACTTCATTAGGCGTCTTTCAAGGCAATCAACTGTCAATAAAATGTTTTTTTAAATAGGAAAATCTAGTTACCCACCTGATATCAAGTACCCCTTAAGCCGTGGAAGGAGAGTTTCTGGATCAATTAGAGTGAGTTTTCCTAGACATTCAGCAACAACATTTCTGGTTCCTTCCTCTGCACATTCACAGTGCTTTAGTAATAAGGCCCAGATGTTTTCAACATATGGTTTAAGGCCCACAACTGATGCAGAGCTAATAATTTCCTTCAAGGAATGAAGCAGAAGATACTGCCTTTTGGGCTGACTGGTTATTTCTTGTAAGACAAATGGCAGATATTCAGGAAGGTTGCCCACACTGATGCTGCCTAATGCATAGGATGCAGCTGATTTGACTTCTTCACTAGGAGATGAAAATGCTTCTAATATTACAGATTTTAGTTCCAACTGCCCACTTAAATCAATATGATGCCCCACTTCTCCAAGAGAAAGTAGAGCTAAGAGACGAATGGAATCTGTAGACCTTGAGTTCTTGACATCTTGAATAAACTGACCTACTACAGCAGGTCCCTCTTTAGGGCATGCTCGAGTAAGGGCAGCTACACATTTGGCAATGGAATAGTAAGACTGCTTATGAGTAAGAGCCGTGTTCTGAGAGTAAACTGGACCAGTCAGCATGCGCAGCAAATCCATGTATCCTAGGTTATTTGTTCCAGTGACAACCAGAGCTTGGAAAAAGTCTAGCATGGCACTAAGAGCTCCCCCCTGCAATAAGGGTGATCTCACAAGTCCAATAAGTTCATTGAGAATGGATCCACTTATCTTGGAAAGGGAGGAGGGATACACTTTCGCCAGGGTAGTAAGAAAACTGATAGCCATCTGCGAGACATGCATATCACTTTCGCTGATAAGAGGTGGGAGCTCATCTAGAACTGCATCAATCATAGCAGCTGTCAAGCTGTCACTATAGTTTTTTATTAGAATATCTAGGGCAGAAAGAGTACCCAGTTTCAAAGCTCTCTGGTTTTTCCTGAGAAATGAAGCAAGAATAGGAACCCCTTCTCCCAGGACAGGCCTCAAATCTATCTTCAAAGGCGACCCAGCAATCAGTGTCAATGCCTTTACTGTAGTTAACCGGGTAATTTCATTCTTTAGTCTCTCCAAGAAAATCTGAAGAGTATTAGGCAAGTCAGAACCCAAATTGTCTCCGAGGTTGCAAATAATCTGTCCCATACAGGAAATAGCCCTTTCCTTGACTTCCTGATCAATGTCAGCTGCTTTTAATCTCTTGATGGTACAGGCAAAGAGATCTTTAATGTAAGGAGTTGCATCAAATGAGGAAGGCTGATCTAAAGGACGAATTACTTTGACAAGCTGCTGAGTAACAAGAAGTGCTTCAGATGTAATCTTGTAAAATGGATCTCCAACGCAAGCCACCACTGGAGGAACCAAAGCCTGAACATGAGGATGGAAGACTTGAGGAGAGTGGTTACAGAGGATTACATACAGACATGACAAAGCATCGATCTTCAAATTTGATGAGCTTGATTTATCATTCAGTGAGAAAATGATTCCTAAAAAGCCAACCAAAAAACCCAATTATTTGTGTGCAGTTTTGAGAAAGAAAAAAATTAAAAATCAATGCCTAAAATACTGCTAACATTCCCACTTCATCATATTATTTCTAAAGTAGTAGAAATTTCACAATCTATAATGAATATTAAAGCCAAATTTCTAAATTCAGGTGTTCAAGATCATTAGATTAAAAAGTTAGTTTTACGTGCAAATTAAGTCGTCAGAAATTTCTCTTTTGAAGGAAACAATTATTTAAGCTTATCTAAGTCTTAATAAAAACTCTCTAAGTCCCAAAAGAGATTTACTGTTTCTTTCATACCTGGTACGAGTACAGGAATGTGCTGTGTGAGGGCCCCCGGTAATACATTTACCAGTTCAGTTAACATGTTAAAACAACACTGTCGAGTCTTCACACTTTTCTCTTTCATCTGTTTGTGCAGAGCTTTAACGATGTTGGGAACCTGTAATTATCACACTCATTAGCTGGTTCAGCTGTTGGTATTTCCTCAGTACACTTAACATGAATTATGGAGAATGAAGAGAAAGGGAATAATTTATCTTTTTTTGTTAAATTACTAATCCAACTATCTACCGCTGCATAGAAGCTACTACTGCTATCTACTGCTATTGCTAACACTAATAAGACTGTTAGATTCGAGCAAAGTTTACTGTTTGTATTCTCTATGTTCTCTTGTAACTATATTTGTTTGATACTGATAAGGAATTAGAGAAAAGCCATCATTTAGCATTCTACAGAGCAGCATAATAGTCTTCCTTGATTAATTTTAACTATGAAATGCACAAAACTAAAAAATTAATCAAACAATAAAATATTTTCAACCAAAAACCTACGAGTATAATTTATAAATGGTATTTTGAAAAAAAAATAGCACAGATGAGCATCAAAGGAAACAAGACAGACTATGGAAAAGCAATCAACAAATCAGTCCTTTTTTGCTTTCAGTTTGCTGTTACAAGGAATCAACCTCACTTCAAATGTAGCTACAAGCAGCAAGGGTATGATTCAAAGATATCTGCTCTAAACTTTCTAATGTTTTGCTAGTCACTAAAATTAAACAGGATCTCTACTGACAAATCTTACGGGTCCCAGGCTATACACGGAGCTTCTAAAATCCCCCAATAGCAAAGCAAGTAGAGATTAAAAACAAAATCCCAACGACAAAACTACATGAACACATATAATTGAACACTATCTGAGAACTAGACATAAAAGAAATTATCTAACTAATTTCCCAAAGCATTATCAGAATTCCCGGTGATTCTACTAAGCAGTACCTGACTTCTATGCACTTATTTAATTGCTTATATCCTCCGTATATTAATATTTTACCTCATTTCCTTCTACGATTAATCTTCAATGTTCACCTTTATGAATAAATTCACCACAAAATGTATTCATTTGCACTACTTGAAAATAAGATTGATATGGTATGTGTATCCCCTCCCCTAGTTTAATTCAATATCTGTTCTGTCATCTATAAAAGGGGACCCAGTGTTTGTTTATGTACCCTATAGGGCTGCTGTAGGGATTACTATAAGGTAAGAAAATGTCTGGCAGGTACTAAATATTCAATAAATAGGAGCTATATGGCTCTAATGTTTAGAATCTTAGAAAAAATATCCTAAAGTGAAAAACATGTATTTTATTAACAATAAGAGCTGGCATACATCAAGCACTTACTATGTAGTAGATACTACACTAAACATTCTACATAGATCATCTCATCTTTCATTACCCTGGATAGATAATTCTAAGTAAATCCTTACTACAAAGGAGTCAGTTTAATAAAATGACTAAATAACTTGTCCAAGATCACCCAGCTAAATCAGGGGTGAAGGCAGCTATGTGAACACAAGTAGTCTGACTCCACAGCTGTAAGACTTCTCCATTAATATCAAAGATAAAGATGACTTTACTGAATCTAAAAATTATTTTAATTGTTATCAAGTAAAATCAAGAATAATTAGATTGAATGGCTTACAAGTAACATAATACGAACATGCATTAACTACTATACAAATATATCCCAGAACCTTCTTCTTCTCTAAAGATATTCTAGAACTTACATTGTCACATAAAAACAATTTTAAAAACACATTCACTATCATGATTTTCTACATCTTACTTTTAAACCAACCTGACTCTGAAGCATTGTTAAGGGTGTTTCTCCCTGTTCCATTGCATCAGGGTCACATAGCCAACTTTGCACAGGGCGAGTTTGCTTCAAAAGAGAAAGGTATGCATGAAAAACATCTGCCTTTACATTCTCTTCGCGCTCTTTAAATCTGGATATCAGTGCAGGAGAGACGGTCTTGTAGAATTCTGGAAGCATTTCATGTCTTGTGCTAACTACAGCATCCAAGCACTTAGCTGCTGCACGTCTCACTTTCCAACTCATGTCATCATCATCACTGTATTCATCATCACTCCCTAAAGGGGAAGTTTTAATGTAAACAGGCTATTAATGATAAGTATATCATTTAATACTGTAAGTGAATTGACATTCTTAACCAAGATAGTTACTCTAACTTTTCACTAACATATACAGCAATAGGTAGGTTTACAAAGAAATGGAACTTAAA